GAGGCGGCAGCGGCTGGCAGGGGGGGAAAACTCCGCTGCGCTGGGTTCCAGGCACGGCAGGAAAGACGACATGGGCCCGGTTTAGTTATCTGCGGAATTAACGACGCCGCTGCACCCAGTAAAATGAAAAGTTGTAGCAACGAGCGTCGTCTGGTTACTGCTGGATTGAGGTTGAGGCATAAACCACAAAAGGTGTATTAACCAAGAATACGGTTTTCACCACTGGCCGATCGTTGTCTCAACCATATTTTTTATGGTAATCCCTGAAAGAACCATGCTATGGTTCCTACAACATTTCAGTTTTCTGGGCGTGGGTGTGCCCCCTGCTGTTATGCCACGGGCTCGGCCACGGGCACAGTCTATCCCTGAAACATTTAGACCGTCCGGGTCACGAGTCACGGCGTGTGCTGCCCTGGCTGGGAGGGGGCTGGAGTCATGAGCAGGACTTCCGGATAACGCTTACCAGGCGGATCTGTTTAGTGTAAAGAGAGGGTTCGAGTGCAACGTGATCGGCGAGCAAACTGTCGCAAGAGCAAGTGATGCAGAGTGCAGCTGTACAACGCTAGGAGGGACCTTGTTGTAATATTTGGATACCTCCCAATGTCATGTGCTTCGTGGATATCGGCCTTGAGGGAGGGGGTGGGTGTAGGAGTGGGGTGAACAGGGGCCTGGTGTCGCCTCGCGGCACGCGGCCGGGCTTCGCCTGGACGTGAAATAGTTCCAACATATAAACACAAACACTGTTTTATTTTTAACAGTGACGATTTATAACAGAGGGATTACTGATAAGGAACCAAGGTATGACTGAAATCTACTTTTTGTCTAGGTGCGGCTCATTAATCTTTCTCCGTTTTATATCTTAAATTTGAAACTGTAACTGCCTCACGTATTTCAGGGGCGGGAACTTCAACATAAGAAGTTTTCAGGGCACCAGTGGCACTTCTTGTACTGATCGTACGTGTCCAAAATGGCGTTGAACACACGGCCACGGCCAGGGCCAGGGCCAGGATGACGTGGCCCAGCACTGCGAGAGTGTCGCTGCTGTATGAACACGCTGGCAGCTCGAACCGACGCAAAACTATGAATGACGACTTTTCCAGCCGCCACATCCTGCGGCTAGTTGAAGTTATACTTGTACGAGGGGTGAATCACTTGATATTGAACACTCGAGTGTACTGAATGAGAGTGACTGATGGCAAATGGCGAATACAAATTACACTGAATACCAAGTAAGCTGTCATGGTACGATTCAGTGTGAGTACCAGTGAATATGCCCCAGTTCACGAGATCACAGTATGAGTACACCGGTTTACACACGTGTGTAAATGACGAGTACAAAGTGAGTACAGAGTGCCGTTCCGTTACGGAAGAGATTCTGATAATTGTTGAAAATTTACGGGAAACTTTTGGTGATGACATTTTCCATTTCACGGGCACGGATGCCACTTACGTAAACTATTCTAAGCGCCTGTGTCTGTGCTCGGGCAGTAAGCTAATCCTGGATCGGCGGGCCAGGTCGGGGTCAGGAATAGCCCTCCCGGGCTGCAGCATTGTGTGTGAGGACGCGCCCCGGGCTCCAGGCTCCGGCCGGCAAAACGGAGGGGAGGGTACAATGGACGTTATTCCGAGCCTGAAAAGAGCGGCTGGAGCGGATGGAAGGGTGAGCCAGGTGGATAGATTTGTCGATTAAACGCGGATCTGCGCTATTTCCAGGCGGCTCTGATTGGGGGTCAGGGCCGTCGCCTTCTCTGTTGGGCACTGCGGTGGTTAAAGCCATCCACCCAAACACTGGATATTTACCGTGACCCTCCAAATAACATTTACGGCCTTGTGTACGGAATCCAGTTTCGCGCGCGCTAGTAGTACACTATAGTACTAGCACTTAGTAGTACTACTCGTTCTTCCAGGCTTCAAGCGCATTTTTCGGGCCAAGAACGCTTTCATTTTTATTTTATTTTTTTGCGTGGTGCTATATGATAACTTTGCGTTGGCATTTTTTAAGGCTGTTTTGCTCTTTGGGTGGGAACCTTTCGCTACGTCGGCACAACAAAGTAGCGGTGCACATCTCTCTCTCTCTCTTTCGCTCTCTCTCTCTCTCTCTCTCTCTCTCTCTCTCTCTCTCTCTCTCTCTCTCTCTCGCGTGGCGTACACGCGTGCGACCCGCGACCTGCCGCAACCGTGAGCGCTTTGACGACGGCAGGCTGCCCGCTCGCCCGTATCACTGCGGT